CTGTGACTGGCTTTGATTTTCGTTCACTCCTTCTTGATAGTTTCAGATTTGACAAGCAAGGTCAGCGCCTTCTGCTGGCAATGTACATATTGGCTGACACCGTTGACGACGTGAGTTCATAAGATTGATGGTATTTTTATTCCATTTATGCTCAAGCAATCCAGAGCTCATGCAAAATAAGCCTTCTATATTTCAATGGTTTTGTATGGAAGGAGAGTTTAGAAGAAGTCAGATTTACTAGGCGAGTAACAGCTGAAGCTGGGATCCAGGTTACTCTTAAATTAGCAGGGCACGTCGTGCTACTGGGGAAATTGAAACTTGCTATCATCGCTAGAGCACCTAACATAGGACAAATGTGCGGAGAAGAGCCTCTGAAGACAAACCGCAGTGCTCGTCTAGAGCGAGCCTTGGAAGGCATCAAAAGCATGGAAAAAAACCCAGAAGTCCATTCCCTCGATGAAACCCCTTCGCTAATTGACTGATTTCTGCTTTTTCCTCGCCGTGATTTTGCATGCGACCAGCTGTGAACGCCCTACACCACTTGCGGACTTTTTTCGACACCCATGCACGATTAATCACACAATTCCGTCAACTGACGATAAATTTCGATTTGTTCAAAACTTTTGCGCTCAAAAGCTGAATAACTGCGTGAGATTCGCACGCGACGGCAGTGGTAAGCAATAGCCAAACCTACTTAAGGTTTCGAAGATAAATCTGAATAGAATAGAAGGGCCGAACAATAGCTGACTTAGAGGCATACTCTGTGGATCCTAGTCCCTTTCGTGTGTGAGGTGAATGGGTTCGAGCTGCACCAGCATGCCACTCACTTCCCTCAAACTGCACCGCAACGAGGCTGGAGGGGTGCGACACCGGGGTGCCGTCTTCGTACTCCGCCCGCTGTCGCACGCCTAACCATAACCAACCACGTTGGTTGCCCGCGCCTTTCCACTTCGGTTGTTCTCTACCGCTTAGTAAGTGTATGGCCGCGAATCCTTGGCTTCGACCAAGTATTCGCGGCCAAACACCTACTCAGCGCTAGAGAACAACCCTTGAAGAGGTTGCCCTTGAAGACAACGCGGGTGGAGGCGGTACCACTACCCTCCAGCTCCATTCCTGTGCCCTTTCGAGCGGACAGGGTGGCACGCTACCGTAGCTGAGGACCCATTCACCTTACACATGGCAAAAACCATCTTCGAAGGTGCTTGTACAGCTTGTCCTTGAGAGTGGTGGAATCAACAAGAACAATGCAGTGTCTGGGAGCAGTGCGAATCCCCTGTGATCCGAGTGCTTCGAAGACCTCCTGCTCGGGATTGCCCTCGTAATATTAGTTGCGTAATGTTCTGATCACAACACTCGTCATCGGCACAGTTACCAATTTTGTTCTACTTTCCCTTCATTACTTTTTCCACTGAATTCATTATGGTTTTGTGAAAAGACGCTGTAAACAAGTCACAAGATGATATATTATATTTTTGGGAGTGGTACAATTACGCACCAGTACTTTTTCCACTGAAATGGCTAAAAACCGTCGTGTAACGGTTGCACAGCACACGGATCATGACATTGACTTGGTTGCAGGCACGAAAAATTGTAATTGAACTTTCAGCAAGAAGGTTTAACAGTTTGTGGTTACAGTAGTACTGTACGTGGCATACGACGATAGTTTAGCTTGCAGGAGCCGGCATTCCGTGCATATGCTCGTGAAACCGTCAACAGACACCGTCAGTTCAAGATGGCTCCAGAGCTCTGGGGGGTGAGTGACTCTCCTTCTAAGGATAATCGGAAAAGGAAAATGATTAAGAGTTGAAAAACTACTTCGAAACGTGGATGATCGTTCCATAAGAAAACTAGTAGTCGGGATATGACCCGTATGACGGATTTGGTTGGTATTTCACTAAACACGGGTCACCCTCCAAGTTCATTGAACATCTGCACAACTTATTGAATGAAAATGGACATGAACCTTATGTAGCGTTGCTTAGATCTGAGCTTCAGGATACATTCTGCCGTTGAGGGGGAAATTTGTGCAGACCACGACCCAATCCCAAGGCTTCCTCCTGCACCACTGTCCCTTCCTACCTACCGTCGATCTGAGTTATCCCCAACTTCTACCACATTTCCGGAGAAATTTCCCAGTTTTTTTTTCAGAAAAATCACCATTGAGCAATGGAGGGAGTGGGTGATGAATAACAGGAAAAACCGAGAAAAGCCGACAACTAAAACATTCTCTTTGGAGTAAGGACGTTCCTCCCCCTTCTGCCGACCAAATACTATTCTCCCCTAAAGATCCTCGAATTACGACGTGTCCTGCTCATGTTTACACTACGAAACTTTCAGGCATTCTTCACAGTATACGTGAACTTTTTGGAAACCCGTGGTGAACTGACCGATGACCAGAAAGCTGCATGGAAACAAATGGGAGAGATATTCGACCAAGAATGTCAAAGCCATTTGAGGACTCTCGGACTGCCACATGTTTGATCTGATCTTCTTACGCCCAGTCTTCTTCCTTCTTCAACTGATAGCACTTTATGTTTTCTCTTTTCTGATGATTTCACTCCTCAAATTCTATATAGTCCACTCTGATTAAATAAATTAAGGACGCTGTTCGGCATGGAGGGGGTATTTTGCACTTTCGCTATATCGGTGAGACCTGCCAACTCTTGTGAAGCTGCGAAACTGTGCAAGTGGGCCATTTTGGTCACAGGCTCACATTTCTCCTTTGCACAGTACCGTTCAGTGCTCCCACCGAGCCGAACGGCGCCCAAATTGTATGGAGATCTTTCTTGTAACAGTATAAAGATTCAATTTATTCACTGCTGGTGATAATGCAAAAATAAAAAAACGAACCAGCAAATGCTATGGCCTTATCTACTCCCTACGTTATCAGGTTACGCAGACTGCTTATCGTTGGCCCACTTGGACAGGGAACATTCTGCAAAGTTTATCGGTACATTTTGTAAAGTTTGATAAACTCCTGTAAAATGACAGAGTGGTGTCTTTCCACAACGCATGTTAAGTTATGTAAACTATGCAAAAAGTGGTTTTCCACTCAGTTATAAGTGGTATTCACCTGAACCAGAGTCATGTTTCTTCGCGCCGGCCGACCACCTTTTCTAGCCCATTTTGCTAATTTCCAGACTTTATGGTTTCGCAAGGAACAAATTTATTGTCTAGTTTCCATCGATAGGCGCGGAGGGGCGTAGTGGAAGAGGCTGTGCCTACGACCCCACTCTCCACGTGGTACGCGCCCCCCGCGGCTACGAAGTCACGGGATTGGCTAAACGGCTCATGCCCAAATAACGAGTGGCTTTCACGGCCGGCAGGGGCGCGATACATTGGTACCAGATTTCACCGGCGGACGTAAAAACGTGGCCGAATTTGTACATGCCATGGCCGCCAAAGAGTGATTGATTAGAGCCTTTTGCGATTCCGAATAAAACGTAGCAGGAAGTGCCTGCATCAAAAGGGATTGACCAACTGCTAAGACTTTATCTTTTCAGTTTTCCCGTAGTCAGTGATCGAGTAGGAAGAGCATCAATCTTCGACGAGCACTTCTTTTCCCTTCTTGTCTATCGTGGATTACTCTCGTGTAATAGGAATTGTCCAACTGTACTCAACCGCGCTGTGCACTGTTCAAACTTCAATACTTCCATAAGGCGCACCCCTATACGTGGCTACTCCGCAACAGCAGAGCCAGGGTTCAGGCTTAACTGGAGGCAGCACAATAACAGTTCATTCTTCTGGTAATTCTAGATCGCAGGGAAAGGCGCTGTGCACCGCAAATCCGAAAAATTTTGCAAAAACTCCTATTCTATTTTGAATTATCGGAGCCTTTTTAATGGAACTTTTCAGCGGCTTTTCATGCTTTAACATTCAACGACGTCCATTCCATTGAAATGTCCGAAAGTTTCTGCCCATTTTGAATACCTTGAGTAGAGGAACTGCTCTACAAAAATGTGTGAGATAACTTCTTAAGTTGCTTTTGTTTGATCTCAGAGTTACGTTGTAATTTTAAAGGCATAAATCACGATAATTTTGGTACTAGATCTGACATGGTAGCAGAAGGAGCCATGGGAAAATATCGGGAAAGCGAAGTGAAAGGTCAAAAACCTGCGAAAAAACCCTTTGTTCTACACGATTCAGAAAGCAATTTTGGACGAGTTTCCGTTGACATCGTGCCAATCACTGCTACGGTAGATACGACTGCAAGTGTTACTCCATGCAGCACCGCAGCCGCTTCATATCAATCCTTCGCTTCATATGTACTTCGCAAATGAAGCGATACGAGCATCAGCATCGGTCGGACATTTGTGGGCGGGCGGGCGCGGTGGGCTTCTCGGTCGGTATGCTGCAGCTTGATAGGGCGCTGTAGGAGCGCCATACCTGGAGAGACACCACGCAGCGCTTGCTCAGGGGCGCCGAAATCTGTCCCCTATATTATTATTATATACGTATTAATATTTATATCTTATATTTTTATATGTATTAAATATTTATATATTTATTATCGTATGCGTATTAAACCTACATTTTGAGGATTCATCGCGCGCCTTGCTTTCAAACTATGTTTTCTCGGGACTAGTGCAGAGCCAGATGGCCGACGTGGGCATTTTCAGCACCTGAATGTCAATTATGGCAGAAATGCAGTTCACGTTCTCGAAAAAACCGTGCTATGTTCACGGAAGCAGTGGTGTAAACAAAGGAGCAGTGCGTGTATATTTTATGAACTTTTGACCGGGCAATCTGTTTTTGAAGACGGTCAACGTTCCAGCGAACCATTGTCGACCAAAGATGCAGAAATCAGAGCATTTATAACAATTCCT